GCGCCTCGGGGCGCACAGCGGGCAGAGAACCGCCGCGCGCCTCGGGGCGCACGGCGAGCAGAAAACCGCCGCGCGCCTCGGGGCGCACGGCGGGAAGAAAAAACTGCCGCACGCCACGGGGCGTGCGGCACAGAGAGTGGCAGTAGTGGTTGCAGCGGAAGCAACGAGGTGGTGAGCCCACCCACAGGATCGATCCAAGAGTATGAGCAAGGCATACAGCCTCCATAATGGATGGACAATTTATATATCGATCCAATAGGGCATATGGCTTGAATATATCGGACGAATGAGGATCCAAGCGTTCTAATTCCGCCTTCGGCTTCAACAACTACAACCGTTGATGAGCATGATTGGTATTGATGAATTCTACGGCACGTGTAGATTTCTTGTACGGAAGACTAAGAATCAGATATATCGCCTCTTGGGCGCTGATTCTTGCGTATTCAATATATAGTTTCCAAGATCGCGAAGAACATGTAGAACACCTTTACCTTGTATTGGCGCAAACTTTTTTCACATTTTCTATTATTTTACTCATTCCTTTACCCAATTTTGTCATGTATGCAGCAATGTACATTGCTACACTATATGGTGTCAGAACTTTATAGCTTATGCTATTGTGTAGGCTATAGTGGGGTATCCCATAGGGGGTACAATCCAATTAGGGTTTCCTATTTGTACTCACTTCATTCATAGTTCATTCATTCTCGTTCTTGTTTTCTCATATGGGTCAATGCATGATTGAATATCCATGTTGCCACGCCAAACTGACAGAATTGTCCTGTTGAAGTTATTTACGAAACAGTCTCTCACTTCTCTTGCATGAAATAGTGTTCGTTTTTTCAAACCTATTCGAAGACAATTTATATACTCATCGTATGTTAGACGAACCGTATCCAAGAATGCGGCAAACGTCAGGTTAGAAGTTTTGATCAAATGATGTTTTCCAAGCATATTAAGAAATTGATCCACTATCACTTTATTCGACCTATGACGTTCTAAATCTGCTTCCGCTATTTTTTTGTCAAAATGCATCAACACCAACGTTTTGGGAAGTGGATACTTTGGTATACCAAAACGACACTTTCGTATCCTACCACCCTTGTTTAATCGGCACGTTCTTGTGTGACTATGTGTTTGCACCCTTAAAAGATCTTCCGTTTGTGGATCTTGTGAGGTCGTGCGCATGACACGAAATGTGCTTATCTGCGAATTCAAGAATCATTTCCAAAGGAATTGCAGCGTCACATGCCAAGAACTCACTCCATATAAGGCAATGAGAATGGGGAGCACCTCGATGCTGGAATTTGTCAAGAATAAAATATGTCGAACACTATATGTGTTATTGTTGTGTAGGCTATAGTGGGTTAGCCTTTAGGGGGTACACAAAGCTAGGGTTTGGTACTTGTACTCCAACTTTTCATAGTTCAATCACTTCTTGTTTCTGGATGGTATTAAGAGCTATAGGTTCTAGACCTAAGGGCCCACCGTTCCGCTAGTGGTGCCCTCGTGCGCCCTCTTTTTTTTTAGCGCCCTCGTGCACCTCTCCTCTCGTGCGGCCTCGTGCGCTCTCCTCTCACGCTGCCCTTGTGCAGCCCGCTAGCAGCCCGAGCGCGGCCCCGCCGTTTTAGCGCGCGTAGGAAAACCGCCGCCTAGGGAGGCTCGATTTTTTCTCGCGAGCCAAGGCAGGCCGTTGCCCGTAGGCCCCACTAGCCCCTAGGCCGATGCGCGACCCACAGCCGCCCGCCCGCAGGTCGCAGCCAGCGCGCCGCGGCGATCGCGCGTCGGCTGCTGCAGCCCGCGCTTAGCCGGCGCTAGAACGCAGCCGCGGCCTGCGCGCAGCCGCACCCTAGGCGCCGCCGCGCACCGAGCATAGGCCCGCCGTCGCGCCGCCTTACCCACCCGAGCCGCGCCGCCCGAGTCGCACCGCCCGAGTCGCGCCGCCTTACCCACCCGAGCCGCGCCGCCCGAGTCGCACAGCCCGAGTTGCGCCGCCTGAGTCGCGCCGCCCTACCTGCTCCTACTGCTACTATTGTTGCTACTGCTACTACTGTTGCTACTGCTACTTGCTACTGCCACTATGGCCAGTCCCAGTGTTCTAACCTTTGACGCCGAGGGCCGCCCGATTAAGTTCAATGTCTGGCTTGATGACCTGCACCTGTACCTCCAGATCACTGCCACGGACGATGTTTCCCTCTATGACCACACGTCCGGTGCTGCTCCCGCACCTCCCGCTACTGCTGACAGCACAGCTCGCTCCCAGTCGCAGACCCGTGATGCTCACGCTCGCCTAGCCGCAGTCACCTATCGTTATATGAGCGCGAGCACTTCGGACAGCATAAGACCGCCAAGGAGCTGTACGGCGCAGTAGTCGCGCGCTACTCCTCCCCTGCCACTGTTGCTATAGGTCGCCTCTCACTGCCCTACCTCTTCCCCGACCTGTCCGCCTTTGCCACTGTAGCTGACCTCATCACCCACCTCCGTACCAGTGACCTCCGCTATTGTGCCGCGCTACCCCCCGATTTTCTCGCCAAGAACCCCCCCCTGATGTACCTCACACTGTACCACCTTGTCACCCGCCTCCCTGACTCCCTTCGCATAGTCACGGACCAGTTTCTCGCCCTCTCCCCCACTGATTTCACTGTCGACCTCCTCGAGAAGGAGCTCCTAGCAGCTGAGAAGAGCATTGTAGCTGTAGGTGCCTCTCGTGGTGACCCCTGCACCCCCTTCTTTGAGGGATGCTCTCCCTCCCCCCTCCTCCCCTCCATTGCATCTGCTGCTCCTGTCGACTACCTCGGAGCTGAGGGGGTCGGGGCCGCGTCTGCTCCTAGTGGGAGACGCAAGGGCGGCAGGGGCAAGGGGGGCAGGGGTGGTGGAGGTGGAGGTGGGGGCGGCGGCGGTGGACGAGGTGGGGGGGGCGGGGGTGGTGGCGGGAGTGGGAGTGGCGCGGGTGGTGGTGGGGTCAGTGGCGGCACAGGGGGTGGTGGCGGCGGCGGCGGTGGAGGGGGTGGTGGAGGTGGTGGTGGCAGTGGTGGCGGCGGTGGAGCGGGTGGCGGGCGCGGTGGAGCGGTGCAGCGTGGGGGGTTTGGCGGTGGCCAGAGGCAGCAGCAGTAGCGCCCCGGCGAGACTCCCTCGCCCCAGCAGCTCCGTGAGTGGTACTCTCAGCGTGGGGGGTCTGGGGGAGGGGTACCTGCCCGTATGTCATCCCCACAGGTGACCGCACTCGCCAGACTTGTGGGAGGTTTCACACGGCGCAGCGCTGTTTCTTTCGCCTAGATGACGCCTGGCGCGAGCAGTTTCCTGACGCCTCTGAGCTGCCCCGCAGGGCTGATCTGGGATTGATATCTTTGCTCTTGATTATGATGCTATTCTTGCTGCTATGTATGCATTGACTATTAGTGCTGAGGGTGACTGTTACCTGAGTGTACCGCCAGACCCGGGCATTGGGATCAGTAAGGCTGCAGCTCTAGGTGCTAGCGCGTCAGCTGCTCTAGGTCCTGGTGTCAGAACATTATAGCTTATGCTTTTGTGTAGGCTGTAGTGGGGTATCCCATAGGGGGTACAACCCAATTAGGGTTAGTACTTGTACTCACTTCATTCATAGTTCATTCATCCTCGTTCATAATTTCTCATGGTATCGAGCAGGTTCCCTCGTGGGAACTGTTCCTAGAGCCCACCGATCCCTTTTTTTTTCCTGCCCGGGGCGCGTCCTGCCCCTGCCCGAAGCGCGCCTAGGGTCGCGCCCTTCTTAGCGGCCCCGTTGCGTCACCTTAGCGGCCCGTCGCGTCGCCCTTAGCGGCCCGTAGCGACGCCCTTACGGTAGCGTCGCGCAGCCCTAACGGCCGTGTCGCGCCGCCCTCTCACATGCGGCCCGTCGCCGCCCTAGCAGCGGCTCGTCACCACCATAGCAGCGGCCCGTCGCCGCCCTAGCAGCGGCCCGTCGCCGCCCTAGCAGCGGCTCGTCGCCGCCCTAGCAGCGGCCCGTCGCCGCCCTAGCAGCGGCCCGTCGCCGCCCTAGCAGCGGCCCGTCGCCGCCCTTCTCACCTGCGGCCCGTCGCCGCCCTAGCAGCGGGCCGTCGCCGCCCTTCTCACCTGCGGCCCGCCGCTCTCAACTGCGGCCTCGCCGCCCTCTGCTGCGGCCCCGCCGCCCTCATCTGCGGCCCCGCCGCTGTCACCTACGGCCGCGCCGCCCTCTGATGCGGCCTCGCCGCCTCTCACCTGCGGCCTCGCCGCTCTCCTCTATGGCCCCGTCACCTGCTGCAGCGCTGCCCGCCACCAGAGCTGCCCGACCCGCCCCACCCAGCCGAGCAGCCGACCGCCGCGCCGCCCTGCAGCAGCACCGCCGAGCCGCCCGGGCGACAGAGCAGCCGGACAGCCGAGCCGCCAGGCCGCTCAGCAGCCGAGCAGCCGAGCCGCCTCGCAGCCGAGCCGCCCAGCAGCCGAGCCGCCCTGCAGCCGACCCGCCCAGCAGCCGAGCCGCCGTACAGTCGAGACGCCGGGCCGCCGAGCCGCACTGCAGCCGAGCCGCCCAATAGCCGAGCCGCTGAGCCGCCGAGCCGCCCTGCTGCCGAGCCGCCCGAGCTGCCCCGTCCGGTAAGCACTGCGTCTCCTTCACTGCACTGCCCTCACCCTACTGTTTGCACTGCTAGTCTTCTGTGGTCATGGCTACCCCTAGTGTCCTCGCTTTTGACGCTGAGGGTCGGGCCATTGACTTTGAGGTCTGGGTAGATGACCTGTAGCTGTTCTTACACTGCGATAGGGCAGACGGCCTCTCTCTCTTTGACCTCACCTCTGGCGCTTCCCCTGCCCCTGCTGCTGATGCTGACGCCACTGTACGCTCCCAGTAGGCCACGCGCGACGCTGCTGCACGTCTTGCTGTGCGTCGCCACCTCCCTACCTCCGAGCGTGCACACTTTAGTCAGTACAAGAGTGCTCATACCTTGTACGACGCTGTAGTTGCACACTACTCCTCCCCTGCCACTGCTGCACTGAGCCGTCTCATGCTGCCGTACCTCTTCCCTGACCTTGCTGCCTTTCCCACAGTCGCTGACCTCATTACGCACCTCCGCACTAGTGACACTCGCTACCGCGCTGCGCTTCCTGCTGACTTCTGCGCCAAGAACCCCCCCCCCATGTACATCACTCTCTACTTCATAGTCACCCGACTCCCTGACTCCCTTAGAGTAGTCAGGGACCACTTCCTCGCAGTGTGCCCCACCACTCTCACCATTGACCTCCTCGAGAAGGCCCTCCTAGCGGCAATGAAGAGCATAGTCGCTGTAGGAGCCTCTCGTGGTGACCCCCGCACCCCTGTCTTTGAGGGGTGTTCTCCCTCCCCCCTCTTGCCCTCTGTTGCTTCTACTGTTGCGGCCGACCTCGTTGGTTTCGAGTCGGTCGACGCTGCGTCTACCCCTTCGGGGAAGCGCCGCACAGTCAATGGCAACGGGGGCAAGGGCGCTGGAGGAGCTAGCGGGGGCAGTGGAGGTGGCGGTGGAGGCGGCGGAGGGAGTGGGGGTGGTGGTGGGAGTGGTGGAGGGGGTGGGGGTACCGGTGGCAGCAGTGGTAGCGGGGGCGGCGGCGGTGGCGGAGGGAGCGGAGGCGGCGGTGGTAGCGGAGGCGGCGGTGGTGGCAGAGGTGGCGGAGGCGGTGAAGGCGGCGGAGGAGGCGGAGGTGGCGGTGGAGCTGGTCGCGGGTCTACGCAGAGGAGTGGCTCCGGTGGTGGTCCGCGCCAGCAGCAGCAGCGCGGTTGTGAGACCTTGTCCCCTCAGCAGCTCCGTGAGTGGTACACTGCACGCCAGCGGGGTGGGGGTTTTGGTCCGTGCACCTACGTCCTGCACACCGGCGACCGTGCGGGTGAGCAGTGTGGGGGTGCGCACCCCACCCAGCGCTGCTTTGGCCGCCTGACGGACGCGTGGCGTCACCAGTTCCCTGAGGCCACAGAGATCCCTCGCTGGGGCGAGCTGTCTAGGGCGGGAGTTGCCATCTATGATCTTGATTTTGATGCTATTCTGTCTCCCATGTATGCTGTGAATATTAGTGATGAGGGTGACTGTTACTGGTGTTTCCCGCCCGATACGGGCATTGAGACTGCTGCTCTAGGTACTGGTGCGGCTGGTGCTCTAGGTGCTAGTGCGTCTGCGTCCTCAGGTACTGGTGAGTCAGCGCTCTCAGGTACTGTGTCGGCTTCGGCCTCCCTCACCTTCACCCTTGACTCCGGGGCTTCTCCCTCCTTCTTTCGGGACCGCACCACACTCACGCCGCTGAGTCGGCCGGTTGCGGTGTCTCTGGCTGACCCCTCTGGGGGTCCTGTCCTGTCTCACTTCTCCACAGTCCTCCCATGTCCGGCAGCCCCCTCTGGCAACCTGTCTGGTCTCTACCTCCCCTCGTTCTCTACGAGCCTGGTGAGTGGTGCTGACCTACAGGATGCGGGTGTCCACCAGTTCACTCCTGCGTGTCAGCGAGTGACGCACTGCACGGAGGCTCGCACAGGCCGCCACTTGGCTACGTTTACACGTCAGCCAGGGTCAAGCCTGTACACACTGACCACTGCGTCTCCTCCAGTCACTGAGTCTGGTCGGGTAGCTACGTCGGGTCAGGTGTTTGCTGCAGCGTCCAGGTCTGGTCCTGAGTCTGCCCCCTGTTCGTGTCGTCTCTTGTCTCACGAGACTCTCCTCTGGCACCACCGCCTTGGTCACCCCTCTCTACTTCGTCTCAGGGGCATGGCCTCCTGTCTTCTTGTTTCTGGAAACCCCCGGTCCCTCCCTCCACTTCCTCAGGGGCCTGGCCCTACCTGTGTCCCCTGTGTCGAGGGTCGCCACCGGGCTGCAGACGCTTCACATGGACGTGTGGGGCCCAGCCCGCGTCCGTGGACAGGGTCATGAGCGCTACTTCCTGCTCGTTGTTGACGACTACTCGCGTTACACCGCGGTCTTCCCCTTGCGCAGCAAGGGTGATGTTACTGAGGTGCTGATCGACTGGATCCGCGCAGCTCGTCTCCAGCTCAGGCAGAGCTTTGGCTCGGACTTTCCTGTCCTGCGCTTGCACTCGGACAGAGGCGGAGAGTTTTCCTCTGGCCTTCTGAAAGCCTACTGTCGCGCACGAGGCATCCGTCAGACCTTCACGCTTGCGGACTCTCCGCAGCAAAATGGGATCGCTGAGCGCCGCATTGGCATGGTTATGGACGTCGCTCGTACATCTATGATGCATGCGGCTGCCTCCCATTTTCTGTGGCCGTTTGCGGTGAGGTACGCGGCGCATCAGATCAACCTTCACGCCAGGGTCTTCAGGCCAGAGACCTCCCCAGCCTTGCTGTGGACGGGGAAGGTTGGCGATGCGTCGGCGTTCCGGGTCTGGGGATCTCGGGCGTTTGTCCGCGACTTGTCAGCGGACAAGCTGTCCCCTCGTGCTGCTCCTTGCGTCTTCCTGGGGTTCCCCCTCGACGCGCCTGGGTGGCAGTTCTACCACCCCACCTCTCGCCGTGTTCTGTCCTCCCAGGACGTCACGTTTGACGAGTCGGTCCCCTACTACCGCCTCTTCCCCTACCGCACTCCGTCCCTCCCCCCGCCCCTGCTCTTCCTTGTCCCAGGTCCCCCCCCGGTAGACCCCCTCCCCCCTCAGGGCCCTGCACCTTCAGGTGTGTCCCAGGTAGACGCAGTCGAGCCTATCGAGGTTACTGGTGACTCTGGTGCTGCTGAGGGTGCTAGGCCTAGGGGTGCTGAGCCTGGGGGTGCTGAGACTGGGGGTGCTGAGCCTAGGGGTGCTGAGCCTGGGGGTGCTGTGCCTGGGGGTGCTGAGCCTGGGGGTGCTGAGCCTGGGGGTGCTGAGCCTGAGGGAGGTGGCCCTGTTCGTGTGGAGTCTGGTGGTGCTGGGCCTAGAGGTTCTCCGGTTGCTTCGTCTCGGTGGGAGCCGCTCTCTTCACAGGAGCTGCGCGAGTGGTTTGCCTGGCGCTGGAGCCGTGCTGCTGGAGCTGAAAGTTCTTCGGCTACTGAGGGTGCTACTGTCGCGGGTCCCGGAGGTGCTCGTACTGGGAGTATTGGAGCTGCTGGGCCTGCGGGTTCGACTGGAGCTGGTGCCGCTGAGGGTGTTGGCGCTGAGACTACTGCTGGCGGTTCTGGAGCTGCTGGAGGTTCTGCTGGAGCGGGTGCTCCTGCTGGGGGTACTGGTGCTGTCCCTCCTGTGTCTGGCGTCGCTGCGCGACCTCGACTACTTCGTTCCACTCCTTCAGCAGGTTCTTGGTCTTCCACCTTCGACTGGTCCTCCTCCTTCTTTAGAGTGTCCACAGCCTGTCCAGTCACAGTTACAGTTGCAGCCTACCTCCCCTTTGCCTGCTCCTTCTCCCTACACTGGTCCTACTGGAGGTCTTGCTGAGCGTCGTGAGCCTGCGTCTCGCCCTGCATCGCCTGTCCGTGCTGCTCGCACTAGTGGTCGTGGTTCGCGTCAGCGTCCTCCTCCTGTCCCTGGCACGCACAAGATGTCTCTGCGTCCATCCACTGCTCCTCTGCGTGCCCCTTTGCCTTCTCCTCTAGAGTCCTCTCTTCCTACTCTTGCCGACCCGGCGTCGGACTCTCTTCGTGCTGCCAGTCCTACTGTCACGCGTCTCCTTGCTACTGTCGTCACTGACCCTTCTTTCGAGTCCACTGCTGTGTCTGCCCTAGTTACTGAGCTCGTCGACTTTGCTGCTCGCTGTCGCCTAGACTACGCTGCTAGTCTTGTCGCTGAGTCTGAGCCTGTCTGTCCTTCGTCCGTCGGGGGTGAGTGTGCCCTTGGCACGGACGTCCTTGAGTACAAGCAGGAGGAGTTCCAGTGTCTGGCCGCTGCTTCACCTCATCTCGTGTCCGTACTGCTTACCCCTGAGGGAGACCCGGATGCACTTGACATCCCGACTCCGCGCTCTTACGCGGAGGCGATAGAGGGTCCCTACTCTTCTCAGTGGCAGGCAGCTATGGATGCAGAGATGGCTTCCTGGAAGTCCACAGGCACCTACGTTGACGCTCTCCCCCCTCCTGGGGCGTACATCGTCAGTGGCATGTGGATTTTCTGGGTGAAGCGGCCGCCGGGTTCTCCGCCTGTCTTCAAGGCGCGTTACGTGACTCGTGGCTTCAGTCAGCGGCAGGGAGTTGACTACTTTCAGACCTTCTCTCCCACCCCGAAGATGACCACTCTTCGGGTACTGCTGCACGTAGCTGCTCACCGTGACTACGAGCTACACTCTCTTGACTTCAGCACTGCTTTCCTGCAGGGCAGCCTGCACGAGGAGATCTGGCTGCGTCGCCCACTTGGCTTCACTGGGACTTTTCCTCCTGGCACCCAGTGGAGCCTTCGGCGACCAGTCTACGGTCTCCGCCAGGCACCGCGTGAGTGGCACGACACACTGAGGACTACGCTTGCGGCTCTTGGGTTTGCTCCCTCTACTGCCGACCCGACGTTGTTTCTACGCACCGATACTTCTGTGCCGCCGTTCTACATCCTTGTGTACGTCGACGACTTGGTCTTTGCCACAGCTGACACTGCTGGACTCGCCTACGTGAATTCCGAGCTGCAGAAGAGACACACTTGCACAGACCTGGGTGAACTACGCAGCTACCTTGGCTTGCAGATCACCCGGGACAGAGCATGCCGCACCATTACCCTGACTCAGTCACACATGGTGCAGCAGGTCCTTCAGCGCTTCGGCTTCACGTACTCCTCGCCTCAGGCCACTCCTCTGCCTACTCGCCACTCGCTCTGAGCTCTGCCTTCGGATGAGTCCGTAGAGTCGAGTGGCCCGTATCCAGAGCTTGTTGGCTGCCTCATGTACCTGATGACCTGCACTCGACCTGACCTTGCATACCCTCTTAGCATTCTCGCACGCTATGTTGCTCCTGGGAGACACCGACCAGAGCACATGGCTGCAGCGAAGAGGGTGTTGCGCTACTTGTGTAGTACGTCGGGCATGGGGCTAGTGCTTGGAGGGCGCAGTCCAGTGGTCCTCACTGGGCACGCAGACGCTTCTTGGGCTGACGACCAGGCTACGCAGAGGTCGTCACAGGGTTACACCTTCAGCCTTGGTTCCGGCTCTGTCTCGTGGCGGGCTACTCGCTCGTCTTCTGTTCTCGGCTCCAGTTGTGAGGCCGAGATCTACGCTGGGGCTTTGGTTGCACAGGAGCTTCGCTGGCTCACCTACCTGCTGACTGACCTCGGAGAGCCGCCTCGTTCTTGTCCAGTTCTGTACGTAGACAACAAGGCCATGCTGGCCTTGTGTCAAGAGCAGCGACTGGAGCACAGAACAAAGCACATTGCTCTCCGCTACTTCCTTGCTCGTGAGCTACAGCAGCGTGGACAGTTGCGGCTTGTGTACGTGGCCTCTGAGGCCAACACTGCTGATGTTTTCACCTTGTGCCTTGTGATCATCAGCGCTTCTGCACTCAGCTGGGTCTTGTCCCTGTCTTGCCTCACTTGCTCACCTCTTGACCTTACGTGTACTGTTACATATATATATATATATATACCTGCTCTTGCTTTTCTAGCCTTATATATATATATACCTGCTCTTGCTTTTCTAGCCTTATATATATATATGTACTCCTGCATGTGAACTGGCCTTGTGGCCTTGAACTTGTGCTCGGAATGTGTGGTGACTTTGTGATTCACCCTGAGCTTTGCTTTGCTTTGCTTGACTGGTCTTGTGACCCCCTGTTCTCCCCCACATTGCCTATGGGGGTGTGTCAGAACATTATAGCATATGCTTTTGTGTAGGCTGTAGTGGGGTATCCCATAGGGGGGACAACCCAATTAGGGTTAGTACTTGTACTCACTTCATTCATAGTTCATTCATCCTCGTTCATAATTTGAACTGGTGGACACCCCTCTCCTGGAACGCACTACCCGCCACCAAGTTCGTAGAGAACGAGGGGAGGTAGAGACCGGACGGTGTGCCCAACGGTGCGGCCGGACAGGGGAGGACAGTGGAGGAGGTCGCAAGGACAGGTACCCCCAGAGGGGTCAGCGAGAGAGACTGCAACGGGCCGAGCAAGCTGCTCAAGAGCCGTGCGGTCATGAAATAAACAGCGGGAGGCACCTGAGTCTAGTGTAGAAGTGCGCAGTGCCTCAGTCAACTCAGTACCAGGGGGCGCAAACGCACTAGTACCTAGAGCAGCAGCCTCACCAACACCTGGGGTAGAAGACACTCTAGCACCTAGAGCGGCAGCCTCACTGGTTCGAATGCCCGGGTCGGGCGGAACACGCAGATACTGAGCACCCTCTCCACTAATAGACATCACATACATGGCAGCGAGAAAAGCATCAAAGTCTAGAGCAAAGATATCAATGTTTTGCTTCATCAGATCAGCCCAGCGGGGCAGCTCAGTGGCATCAGGGAACTGAGTACGCCAAGCGTCGTCGAGGCGTGAGAAGCAGCGCTGTGTGGGGTGCGCCCTCCCACACGTCTGACCAGTGCGGTCACCAGTGCGGATGACGTACGTGCAGCTAAGGCCACCCCCCCCCCCCCCCCCCCCCCCCGTGCTGAGCGTACCACTCACGGAGCTCCTGGGGCGACGGAGTGTGCTGCAGGCTCTGGCCACCGCTAGTGCCTCCACGATCACCACTGCCGCCGCCACCTCCTCGACCACCCCCTCCCCTGCCGCCGCCGCGTCCACCGCCGCCCCCACCACCGCCCCCGCCCCTGCCACCTCCCCCGCCGCTGCCGCCACCACCCCCACCGCTGCCACTAGTCCCCCCAGTCCCACCACCACCCCCACCGCCGCCACCACCCCCACCACCGCCTCCCCGGCTGTCACCTCCGCCTCCCTTGCCCCCTTTGCCCTTGCCGCTGCGGCGCCCGCTCGAAGCAGACGCAGTCCCGACCTTCTCAGCACTAAGGAGGTCGAGAGCAGAAGCAGAGGCTACAGAGGGAAGAAGAGGGGAAGTGGAACACCCCTCAAAGAAAGGGGTGCGGGGGTCGCCACGAGAGGCACCTACAGCGACTATGCTAGCCTCAGCTGCAAGCAGTTCCTTCTCGAGGAGGGCAATGGTGAGCTCAGTGGGGCAGCGAGCTAGGAAGTGATCCCTGACAGTACGTAGAGTGTCATTGAGGCGGGTGACTAGGTGGTAGAGAGTGAGCCAGAGCGGGGGGGGGTTCTTGGCCAGAAACTCATCGGGCATGGTGGCACGGTAGCGGGCCTCACTAGTACGTAGGTGCGTGATGAGGTCAGCGACTGTGTGGAACGAGGCCAGGTCGGGAAACAGGTAGGGGATTGAGAGACGGCCTAGCGCGGCAGAGGCATGTGAGGAGTAGCGGGCAGCGACAGCGGTGTATAGTGCCTGTGCAGTCTTGTGCTGGCCAAAGTGCTCGCGCTCATCTATCGGCAGGGAGTTGCGAATAGCGAAGCGAGCGTGGTCGTCACGAGTCTGCCACTGTGAGCGGGTAGTGCTGTCAGCAGTAGCAACAGGAGCAGTAGCATGGCCTAGGGCGTGATCGTACAGTGAGATGTCCTCCTTGGCAGTGAGCTGTAGGAAGAGGTATAGGTCATCTAGCCAGGTTTTGAACTTCACTGGGCGGCCCTCAGCATCGAAAGCTAGCACAGGAGGGCTAGCCATAGCAGTAGTAGGAGTAGGAGTAGAGTAGCAGTAGTAGCAGTAGGTGCACCCCAAAAACAGTAGGCAGTGCGACTCAGGTAGGGCGGCTCGGTCCAGTACGGGCGGCGCGGCTCGGTTCAGGTAGGGCGGCGCGGCTCGGGTAGGGCGGCGCGGCTAGGTTCGGGCGGCGCGGCTCGGTTCGGGCTGGGCAACTCGGTTCGGGCTGCTCGGTTCGGGCGGCTCGTTCTGGCGGGGCCGTGGGTGTCGCGTGTGGGGTGCTAAGGGGCGGTGCGTGGGGTCGAGGGGGCCGACGGGGCCGCTAAGGGGTGGGCGCGCGCGGGGCATACGGGGCCTCTAAGCGGGTCACGCGCGGGGTCGACGAGGCCAGCGGGCCCTCTAAGGGGCGGCGCGTGGGGTCGACGGGGCCAGCGGGGCCTCTAAGGGGCAGTGCGCAGGGCCGACGGGGCCTCTAAGGGGCGGCGCGCGGGTCGCTAAGGGGCGGGTCACGGGTCGCGGGGCCTTAGGGGGCCGTTAAAGAGAGGGCGCACGAGGGCTCTGGGAGGAGGCGCTCGAGGGCGCTTCGACTGTAGGGTGCACGAGGGCGCTAGTAAGCAGAGCGGAATGGTGGGCCCTAAGGAGCGATCCTAGGTCTAAACCTACGCTCTTAATACCATGTTAGAAAGAAGAAGAGTGTGGACTAGAAAGGAATGGGAGTACAAGTACCCAACCCTAGAATGATGTACCCCCTAAAGGCTAACCCACTGTAGCCTACACAAATACAACACATATATTGTTTGACATTCTGCGCCATTCGGCTTAAACTTCTATCTCGCAGCAGGGACAGCAGCACCTGCCGGCTTCACCCATGCTAATGCAGCAGGAACATCAGCACCTTTCGGCTTCACCCATGCAACCGGAGCAGGAACATCAGCACTTGCCAGCTTCACTGATGCTACTGCGCAGGAACATCAGCACCTGCCAGCTTCACCCATGCTACTGCAGTAGGAACATCAGCACATGTCGGCTTCATCGATGCTACCGCAGCAGGAACATCAGCACCTGCCGGCTTCACCGATGCTACTGCAGCAGGAACATCAGCACCTCCCGGCTTCACCCACGCTACCGCAGCAAGAACATCAGAACCTGCCGGCTTCACCTATGCTACCGCAGCAGGAACTTCAGGACCTGCCGGCTTCACCCATGCTACCGCAGCAGGAACTTCAGGACTTGCCGGCTTCACCCATGCTACCGCAGCAGGAACTTCAACACCTGCCGGCTTCACCCATGCTTCCGCAGCAGGAACTTCAGCACCTGCCGGCTTCACCCATGCTACCGCAGTAGGAATTTCAGCACTTGCCGGCTTCACCCATGCTACCGCAGCAGGAACTTCAGCACCTGCCGGCTTCACCCATGCTACCGCAGCAGGAACTTCAGCACCTGCCGGCTTCACCCATTCTACCCAACCCGACGCCACTTTAGCCCCTACAGGCATGAATGCTGATTCCTCCGCCAGCACTGGACATGCAGGTGTCACCCCATCTCCATCAATGGGAGGTAATGCATCTGCAGATGTCACCCCATCTCCATCTATGGGTGGTAATGCATCTGCAGGTGTCACCCCATCTCCATCCATGGGAGGTAATGCATCTGCAAGTGTCACCCCATCTCCATCCATGGGTGGTAATGCATCTGCAGGTTTCACCCCATCTCCATCCACGGGTGGTAATGGATCTGCAGGTGCCACCCGATCTCCATCATCTCCATCCATGGGTGGTAATGCATCTGCAAATGTCACCCCATCTCATGTTTCCCTCCACGAGGCTTTCTATGGTCGATCAACCCCTGCCAGCGGTGCCCGTGCAGCCCCATACGGTGTGTCTTCCGTAGATGGAGGGTTGGGGGCATTTGGTGGCGGCAGGTATGCGTCTAGTGGCACCTACTCCGCCACTGGTGGCTGTCGTTACGCGTTGAGCGCCGGTAACTCTGCAACCGCAGGCGATATCGCAGAATCAGGAGGTGGTGGCATACCACCTTGGCCCTATGCATATGGAGGAGCATTCTCAGCACCTTTTGGTGTCACCCGATCTCCAAGAGGTGCTCTCTCTGCACCCATGTCCCCTGCCTATGCACATCGGGTTGGGTACCCTGCACCGATGCTTGGTGCACAGTCCACGACACATGCATTCACTGCTCACCCATTATTCAATCCATCTGCACCTAGCGGCAGCATGTCAACTGCAGTATTCAGCGGGGCATATGCACCTGGAAAGGGGGACACATCCGGTGGCGACGGCAGCGGCGCCACGGTGTGAGGTGATTCTAATCCCCTATGCCAGCTTATCGCCCCTGTAAGTGCAGAAGAGGTTGTGATGCCAAAGATCTCTGCTTGATGTACTGCAGTTGAACCAGTAAGCAACTACTTGCACAACCTCCTCCCCCCCCCCCCCCCCCCCCCCCCCCCAACACCACCCTCTTCCCCAATTCACTTTTCTTTGTTTTAAAAACTCCCTCCCTCCCCTTGTTGTTTTATACCCTCTCACCCTTATGCCTAACCCCCTTCATAGTACAGGACAGCCTCTACGATGCAATCCATATCCGACAACACAACAACGGTCATGAAAAGTTTATAGAAATATGGTTCAAATAATTTGTAATTTTGATTCTCCAAAGGGCCAGGAAGACCAGCCCACTCAATAGGAACTTCCATATATACATGCTTTATTTAAAGTTTCGTAGATTATATCAATCTTCTTTGCTACAAGCTCACAGCCCTAGATGCCCATAATGCACTAGCGATGGCTTCCCTCCGTTCGCTTCCAATGCGCGTTGAATCCATACTCAATAAGATGCCACGACCATCCTCTAACTTATCCTGCTGGTCAGAAGGAGCAAGAGAATCTTCAGTCTCTGGAGTGAAGTCAACCCCAACTTGATGAAGTTGTGCGGGATAAAGCACGACAATCTTGCGTTGCATTTTAAAATTGTAGGGTAGCATGGTCTTCAAAATAGGGAACCTGGCCTTTACTTGGCCAAATGCACATTCTAGGGAAAGTATTTCAATGGTAACTTACATGGGGCGCAAAAACGCATACGCTAACGATTTCAACACGTTTGGTAACTCCGCTAACGTGTTTGGTAACTCGCTTAACACGTTTGGTAGCTCGCTTAACGCGAATGGTAACTATACACAAGCAGCCTATCACGCGAATGGTAACTACATGAAACTCCCGCCGAAATGATCCTGACAAATAGGAATTTATCAATTGTGAAAGTATTTACGCACAGTTTTATATTGAACAAGTCCCGCCGCGACTTTGAAGGACCCCGTTTGTTAGATTACCACGGACCGAAAAGTTTCAGAGGCGTTTTATACATATAAGTAGCAAGTACAAAAACGGTTAAAATCATATTTTTGATAGCATCATTGCGAACTTGCAAACTTATAAAAAAAAACATTTCCCGAAAGAACCTCGGGGCTTTATTTTTTTTAATTACTGCAACGTTGGAGAGTTTCGCATGTAGGAAAAAATACACCTGTTTAGAATCATAAACGCCTAGTCGCAATGAGTTTAGGGTAGATGCTCTCAAATTCATTTGCCATCTGAAAGGGTTATAGATTTCGTTTGCCCCGGCTGCAAGATAGAATGAAGTACAAACAGTTTGTGGAAAGAGCGACAGAATATCAGTTTGAGAAAGTTAGAACGAGAATGAATGAACTATGAAAGAAGTCAGTACAAATAGGAAACCCTAATTGGGTTGTACCCCCTATGGGATACCCCACTATAGCCTACACAATAGCATAAGCTATAAAGTTCTGACACTGTTTTTGTATGAACAATTGCTTTCACAACACTTACGTTTTTTGCAATTAGCTTGAAAATCGGAAAGTGTGTCAGGATTTCGGAAAGTGTGTCAGAATTTCGTAAAAGTGTGTCAGAATTTCAGAGTGTGTGTCAGAGATTTCTGCTTCAAGACTCGTCAATTTAGTCTGACGCGAACGGGAAAAACCAGAATCAGGGTCATTTTGGGCGAGGTTTTCTTCTAGTTACCATTCGCATGATGGGCTGCTAGTATATAGTTACTATACGCGTTAAGCGAGTTACCAAACGTGTTAAGCGAGTTACCAAACGCGTTAAGCGAGTTACCAAACGCGTTGAAATCGTTACCGTACGTGTTACAGTTCCCCATGTAAGTTACCATTGACATATTTGTGAAAGAACAAGGAATGAATGAACTAGCAAGCAGGTGGGTACAAGTAGGAAAACCTAAAAGTGTTGTACCCCATATTGTCTACCCCACTACAGCCTACATCACAAAAAACCTTGGTTTTTGAAGGGGGTTCGAAGGGGGGTACAGTTCAGGTGTTTTGGTTGGCGAAGTTCCGAATCCAAAGCGCGACTAATCAGGGAATGAAATCGGACCGCGTTTGGTTGTCGAAGTCTGGATCGAATCCGCGACTCCGGTACATTGCCGTTTATTTGAAGCATGCCAAATTTGTTGTGATTTTGTAATAGGTTTTTTAAGCTTTGACTTCCCTAAAATGTGTCTGCTTGAAAATATGCTGGCCATTTTATTTCAAGATAAATGCATCACATTTGATACTTATTAAGGAGATAGGTATTGTCCAGGTGGAATGTCTTCACCACATGGACGTGGCGGAGCAGCGCTTCAATCGGAATCACGGAGTACGCGTACATTCCTGTCGTCCACTTGAGGCGAAGGCATCCTGTTGCTGTATCCTCTCCGCTTGCATTCCAATATCTAACGTAAGCCAGCTCCTCCCTCTCTCCACGTATTTTTGTATGGAACAACAGAAGCAACCTTGCATACCACTCCTCTCTCCGACCATACCTTACACCCTCCACTGCAACATCCGAGTACCATGGCCTCTCAAAATAGTCAGGGGTCGCTCGAACGAAGTGAGAAACTCTTGAGAAGCTGGCGTCGTCTGCTGCAGGGATTGCCAGCGATGCATGGGCCTGCATAACAGTTGATGTTAGTCATGTATGATACGAGGCACCCAAATGATGGTTGATTGCATAAACTTGCAACTACTTACTCGAATCTTGGTGACGCATCCTGCATAATGCATAAGCGCATCCTTGAGGGCAGCTTGGGCACGAGGGTGTTGCTTGGCCCACTTCCTTGCAAACCAGTTGGTGGAGGTGGGTTCTTGTGGTAACTCCACAGGGAGGAAGTATGACTCCTTGATGAGCGTCAGTGTGTTGGTCTCAATCGCCTGCCAACATATGCTATTGATATTATTATATTCTGCATTCATATCCATGCAATTCAAGCACTAAACAGATTTACTTGCCGCATGGCGGTGTCCCGGCCAGCAGGATCATCCACCGGCACCACATCCGGAATGCGCCTAGCATGGAACTTCATGATCTGCCCATCTACATTGCGCTTGTTGGACCGACGGTAGATCCTCTTTACCAGCGGTCCGTGCAAGTGCTCGAACATGTTGGTGCTGAATTCAGTCACATGACCCGCGCGACGTATGGAGTCAACGTAGTGCGACATGAGATGTGTTTTCACAAGGCACCAAGAGGATGGCTGCTTTGGAAACGCAGCCTGCAACTGCTCAACGAGCCTGATGGGAGTGGGAGATGACAACACATGCAATCACAGAGTCTACTTATTCATATGGTTTTCCTATTCCTGATCCTTTCCTATCAAAGTTTAGCACCAAACATCCTCACAAGATTGCCTACTACAAGAGCACATTTACAGTAGCCAAGCATTCATCCCATGCACGGGGGTTTACATGCGTGGTATTATTACCGAGAGGTCATCTTCTTCAGCTCCCGGAGGGACCGCTCAGTGTGCCCCTGAGGTTGGGAGCACAGGATGTACCAGCCAAGATAGGCACGAATGGCATCCATCTGGGGCTGGCGAAGCAGGCCTGCAAAAACAAACACCATGACCTGCAAAGAATTTGGATAGCAGCAAAGGGGAGGGTGAGCACAGATGGTGTGAGGAGTTGGGACAAACAATGGCAGCATGAGCAGACTGCTTGAGGGTTTAGGCCAGGACAAGCAACAGGGAATGGAGGGTTCATACCTGCATGACGGACCTGTGCTCATAGGCCGCCACACATGCTCCGGTCTCGAAGTAGGCGCTCTCCGGCAGGCGCATGTGATTCAGGCGCGTGCGGTCGCGAATGAGAGACAGGCGCCTGCCCATACACATCAGTTCAGCGGTGGCAAAAGGGCAAAAACATGTCAGTAATAGGACAGAACTTATGGTTTGAGTAAATGTGACGAAGAGCAACGAATCCAATCCCCAAAACACTGACCTATCCATCTGCTTCACACGCCGCTTCTTCATCTTGCGCACGACAGCCACAATGTGGCTCATGATGCCCAGGTCCGCCTGGTGCATGATGTCAGGCATCACCACGAGGTAGGGATTGCCCCACGCGGTCCCTGGGACATCCCACTTCCAGAGCACGCACTGGAAATGGGGATGTGGTGGGGAATGGAGGAGAGATGTAAGTGAGAGTGGATAGCTAACCTAAACCACAAGTGGGGTGAGTTCAATGGGGCAGAGCACATCTGGCAATTCATGACGGGGTGAGCGAGAGCATAGACTACTCATGGGCCGGGGAAACAGGTCACTCACCTCAACAGGGTAGGTAGAGTAGGCCTTGCACGGGTTAGCCTGGCTAGTTGTCGTCCCAGCCGCCTCGTTAACGATCCATTGCTGCTGTTCAGGCGTGCGCGGCGTGTTCCGTGCCTTGACAGCACTCAGATGCTCTTG